AAGCTCAAGAGACCTTTACTAACCTTCAGAATTTCGCTTAACTGTCCACACTGCGTTTGGATTACCTGGAAGGTCTGATTTTGCCATTTCAGATACCTCTAAACCATGTCTTAAAAGCCTAAATGTTGATCCTGGACCTCGCCCACACAAAGCAGCCAACTGAGGCGTATCCTCGTTGGCAAAGTCGGCAATCTAAAACGTTATGAAAGTGTACGAAGTACTCACGTGACAGCTCATAACAGGAGATAAGCTTTCCAAGACATCAACTTCAATGAGATTTTTAAGTGGTCTGGGGGCGAAGTAAAACGTATCTCCCTCTTCTAAAGGCATGGCTGAAGAGAATTCTGGCTCGTCATCATCATCACCAAGATGAGCTATTTGATATAGACAACTACCAAGTATGTCAAGGATTAAGTAAACTTACTGGTTGCCGAACTCTGATGCAACGAACAGAAAACCTGTCTTTAAAACACACATAGCAGAAGCTACTGGAACAGTATCGAAATATTTAAGCTTAATCTCCGTCACCATATCATCATCGACTTCGAGATTTATTTTGAAAATATCTCCTTGTTCTGTTTGAGCTAAAAAGAAAAATAAGTTCTACCAAATTTAAGGCATAAACATCTGACAAACCTTTGTTTTGTGTGAGGCGCTACACACAAATAAAATACCTCTATCAGGATCATCCAGATCATTTCGTCGCTGAGGTATTGGACAACGTATATCAGGTTGATCACCAAAATTTTTGTATGTTATGTAGTTCTCTGAGCAAATCAATATGCCAGAAGGACCTTCATTGCCACCAGGGACAGCAATCAGGAAGTTCGCATGTTCCTCTAACGGTTCGGAATATTTGCGGACAACATGGTTAAGGCCAAGATCCAGTTCATAATAAGTCAGAAGTTGATTAGCCCCACGAGCCGCTTCACCAGTAGAGTCCTGGTCAGCATCTTCATAATCCATCTCGATGCAGGCAAACAATGGGTTGTCGAATCCCACATCTACACCTACCATATGGTAGACTAAGGTATTTGACTTGTGTGCTTCTAATGGAGAAGATATGGTAAGTCTCGCTTGAGAGTCTCTATTCATGATGTACACAAGTTTTTGTTTTTCAACAGCACCAATCATGAAAGCACGTCCCTTAGGATTAACAGCTAGATATTGCCCAGGTACTATCCTTCTACATCCACTTTTCCCAAATGTCTCCTGCTGAACTTTTTCGAAAACGTTTTTGGACGGAATGTACTCCAAAACAACAACTCGTCCGGAATCAGAACCCACAATCAAATAGTCTGGGAGTAATACGTCAATCTAAATGAGAGCATACCTTTATTACTGCCTGTTAGACGAAACGGCATAAAAGATCTAACTATCCCAAACGCTTCACATGTTAGTAACGTGTAGACCTTTCCTGTATTTGGATCAGGTCTAAGAAGCTCGATTATTTTTCCTCTGGCTACTGCTATTTCCTGTTGCTTTGTTCCCGAGAAATTACCATGAACTGCATGAGTAATCCCTGTTGCACGTTGCAACGTGATGTTGTACAGATACATTTTTGAGGGTTTCGAAAGTCCCGCCTGGATGAAAAGTTTTAAAAGTTATGATGAAATCACTTTGATTTGATTGGTCTGATAGTAAGTGTTTTTTGTTAGTCTTAACAATGGGTGTCTCAAAGCCGATAAAAAATTCTTTAGAATGCATCTATAGAAGGCTCTGTCGCTTCAAGTCAAACTAAAGTACTCCATTGATCGATAGTCAGTTGGCATGTAACCAGCTTTAAGTTGGTGAAATGTTTGGTTTAATACATGTATATTTTTTATTCTTGAGAGAATAATAAAAAATTTATGTCGCGGCTGGAACCACCAGACAGCCTTGAAGCTATGTCTTCAATAGCCTATAGGGCCTGTGAAATGTCACTAAGCCCTAACCAAATCATTCGGCAGTTGGTTCACTGAATGTCGAACAGATCATCGATCTCTGTCAAGGCCAGTAACGACCAATGCGCATCAGTTAATCGTTCTCCATGGGCTGGCTCATGCGGCAGTGGTCTCACTTTCGTTTATATCTAATTTAACTAATATATTTCTGTAATAACGTCTTTTGTGTTTTGCAGTCTTCAAAGTGTCTATAGTATCTTGATAGATCGATGAGATAATCCACATAAAGTGCTGACCTCGAGGTGTGACTTCAACGTTAGCTGGTTCGTCACACCATTCCCGTCGAAATCTAGTAGACACCCAATCATTCGACATTGATCATCTACGTTGATGATATACAATTCCTTTTACGTATTGATAGAAGACATTTCGTTCAAGTAATCTAACTTTGGTTGCAGTCCAAAAAACATCTACAGGTAACCCTTCATTTACTTCTAGACGTGCTTCGTTTGCCTTTATACTGCAAATTAGTTTCGTGGAAAATCTGCCGTATCCAGTGTTACCAATTCTTCAGTATCGGTGTGGCTGGACTCTGTGAACTATTAAAAGTACGTCAGCATATGTGTGACAATTGAATGAATGTGTGTAATAGTAGGTCTCTGAATACCTTTCCACCTTACTCTGCATATTTTGTCGGGTAGAGACAGGTATCTAGCTCAGTAAAATGGAAGTTGGTCGGGCAATTTCATGGATTGGTTGATGTTAGAAACTATCACCATTGGATGCCGGCTCAGTGATCCAGTTGGTTAAGCGTTCGCGCGCGAGACCGAAGGCCCTGAGTTCGAATCCCGCTCGCGGGATCGTGGATGCTCACTGCTGAGAAGTTCCACAATAGGACGAAACGGCCGTCCAGTGCTTCCAGGTTTTCAATTGTGATGGTCTAACATAAATTGGTTCGTGATCTCGATCAAAAACTTAATAATAATTGTGAATGATGGTACACATGTGTCGATTTATATAACTCATGAAAACTGGATCGATCTGTTGCACTCTGGTTCGGTAAATTGTTGGACTCATAAGCTCTTTATGTTCTCTTTAAATCTTGTCTGCTTTTGTTCATTCCAATAATGGCATGTCTGTAATATGAATATCTGAAACATCAGTCGTGTTCTACTTTTAAACTCTCCGTTGTATTAGCTTGATTAGTCAACAGGAGATATGTGATGTCATATCAAGGCTATATTTCATTAGTGTCATCATCTTTTGACAATACTGGGGTTAAAAAAGAACGAAAAAGGCCAAAGATTGTTGGCCTCTATTTTTCATCCTCGCACGAGCTAAAAGCAATAAAGGTGAGACAAATATTCTTCCGAAATACAAGCTATAAATCAAGATTACCATATCCAATTTCTACAGAGAGGCTAGAATTTATGAACGGACCAATCGGAGTTAAGATAGGTGTTCTTGGATTTTGACGTGGAATTCATCCGTCCATATGCCTAAATAACATTTCGATACTGTGGCTGATATCAGTTCGTAGTTGAAGTTGACAGTTATCAGACGATGCAGGCCGATTGTAGCTAGATATGTGTTAGGGAGTGGTTCGTAAAAATCAATCTTTTTTAATCCATCTACTGCTTGATGGCGTGGTATCCGCTGCTATTTGATTAATAGACCAAGTCTAATATTGTTGACGTACTAAGATAGGAACGCCTAGTGTTGATGTTATCAAGTGTATGTCACATAATTGTTCACCCCGACCTACCATATGGTAGAGTTTAGGGTGTCCACCTTATAAGAATCTTTAAAGAACAACAGGACAATACATGTAAATACATTTAATACACAGATAAACCACAATTGAATGGTTGAACGTTCGCCGCTACTAGGCTTCAATATTTCTGGTCTGTCATTCAGTGTCAAGGGGTAAAACGTCTACACTGGAGTACATTCATTTAGAAAAACTACGTGGTTATTGATTAGTGTTCTTCTGTTGTTATTTCACTATCTCTCCCCTTCTTGCGTGGTTAACCACCAATTTCAGTGAGAGGTATTGTGTTTTGACCCCTAAAATAAGGGAACAGTTCAGTTGAGGTAATACCGATTCCAAGCATGATCAAGTATTTATCCCACTTATGCTTGTTGAAAACTTCCTTTCGTTCCGAAAAACCATTTTTTAACACCTGGACATAAAAAAGTATCCGGAAACTTTGCTTTCTATCCAAATTTTCATCCACTTCACATCGTATTGATCAGTAATTGGTCAAAGATGTCCTTGAAATCTACCTGCCGCTCCCTCAATCTCACCGTGGCTCGCGTGTGACAGGTGAGACGTTTGGTCAGCCAAGAAGTAAATTCAGTGTTTGACCGCATTATATATCTACATAGGCTGTGGCCAACGTTCAGGGCCTGTATTTTACGGTCATATGTCTGAAGTATTTAATGACTCAGCTGGTCAAATCTTAGACAGGCATGAACTATGGTGGCTTACATGTCACACATGAAACGATTGCTATCGTTATCTAGATGACAGGTTTAATCTTACATCCCAGGAACGTGAACTCGGATCACAGACACGAGTGTCTCATCATGAATCTGTAACACTATTTATGTACATGTGCATTATGATGGTAGCGAAAACATCCATTACAGTGGCTACATACTAATGAGCAGTAACTTGTAACTAGTGAGACGCATACAATAAAATTGACATCATTTTGTCCTACTCTTTTATTACATAGTTTTCTTGGAGATTCACTGTGGAAATACAAGTACTTCTTGCTGTCGTTTTAGTGACTTTTGGCACCAGAGAATAAAAGGCTGGAATGAGATCAGTTAAAATATTATTACGAAGGCATTCACACCAAATATTCGGATTGTTGTGTACAGGTCGATGCTTTGTGTATTGATTTACGATACCATAGTGTTATACCCGAAATTTCAGACTCTGGAAAGACTGGGACGTGAATACGTGCTAGACATTCTAATCCAAGCTAAACACTATCAAGAACCAATCGGAATCTATTGGCGATATCACAGCTCTAAGAAATACTGCTCCCTACCACAAACGTAGAAATAAATTTACTACAAACCTTCAATATTCATATTTCTTAAAGTTCAAGAACAAGTGTCGACCACAAAGCGATTGATATGCTGTTTCGTTTCCCTCCAATGATTTCCACTCCGGATTCAACAGAAAAGCGACTGCTTGTAATTGTGCTGAATAAAGTATTATTTAGTATATACTCTGGTCTTCTATTCTGGGAAATGAATCAGTTTTGTCGCATGGGTCAGTTATACCAAAAGTTGTCAATTCCAACTTCAGAGTTTAAGTCTTTCGTAGGATTGGTTGTGTGTTATCTTTGACGCGTCTCTAGAATAGACTGCGGCCCCTCATAACCTGAAAAGTTTCCTCATCGCTTCAATTACTGGCAGGTGCGTAGGGGTGAATTACATTTATTTTTTTCCTCGTTTGTTTGCTAACATGCTTTGACGATCTTAGAGACGTAAGCATCTCATGCTACAAATGCTTATCGCGTTTCCTTGAATGGTATCAATGCAACAGTTTGTGTGTGTGAGTGGTGTTTGTTTCTTCATAACCAAAATACAGTAAGAACGTTTCAGATTTCGCGTGGAATCGAATTCTCTTGATACAGCAAGATCCCCCGTAGTTAACGGCAGCATTACAGACGACCCTTTTACTATGAAATCCGAAACATTTGGCAATGTGCTTCTAATGACATCCAGTCGTCTATCCACAAGTGATAACAAATCTGTCAATATCGAGCGGGCCATAAATGCTTTGAAAACGTTCCATGACGATGGACCTGATGGGACGCCTGAATCATTTGTGTAATACGATAATAGGGAATTTCATTATACTGATTAAAACTATCCAGCCTATCCATCTGTAGGGAAAACATAGCTTATCGCCCTAGATTCAAAACAGGATCACGTAGCGTAATTGCCAACCGTATGCCTGTTAACTTGTCATTCGTGTTATCGAGATTCATGAAAAAAATCCACAAGCAGCTAATATCATGCTTCATTTCGGCAAGTATGATTAGCTCATCTTAACACGGGTTTATGACTAAGCGCTTATAGCATAGCATTTGGAAGGTTTTGATCAAATTACTCAGAGAAAAGATGCTGATCAACCAGTGTTAATTCTGTACTTCGAAAGTGTTTCAAATAACCTATTCTTCTAAACCTCGCTTCATTTGCGTAAGGAATCATCTTTATCCTGGTTCAAAGATTTCTTGTCAGAACATAACCAAATGTTTTGCTTCGGATCATGCTACTCTGAGCTTATAAATGTAACCAGTGAGGTTGTAGCGTGGGGTCGAGTCCAAATTGTCTATGAACACCGCTACCAAGAAACGCGTGATAAATGACTTCATAAATTCCCCTGGAAGCCAAATATTAGAAGGCAGTTAATGGATTAAGTCGAGATATATTTGCCGGCGATCTCGTGGTATCGAAAGGATACCGAGATCGTGCCAGGATACAAGCTAGGTTACAGAACGTAACCAAATTCGCGCGGAGTCACAATCAAAGTGTAAGAATAATGGATGTTTTTTGCACACTTAAACAAAAGCACATTAAAACAGTCACTGGTACAATTGGTTATAATAATAATTGTTTTCAATAAACCAATCGTGTTCTCATGATAAAAGTGAGTCACTACAGTGTTAGACAAGAAGTGATCTGTGAAAAAAATAAAAACTATAATAAATCACTTATAACATCAACTCAAATGGAGTAAAAAAAGACTAACTAAATGTGC